CAGAGTACGCATCAAGGAAGCAAATGATTTCGCACCCTAAGATCGAGTCGAGTACTTGGTCTATGTGTGGCAAAGAATACGGATCCTTTGGACACGCTTTGTTGAGATCCGTGTAGTCAACACACATTCTCCATTTCCCACTCTATTTTCGTACAAGAACGGGATTGACTAACCACTCGGCTACCAAAAGCTTTGCAATCTCTTCGTCGATCGCCCTGCGTCTCTCCTCGTCGAAGCGACGTAGGTGCTGCTTCACCGGCTTGGAGCCTGGCCTGATCTTCAAGGCGTGCTCAGTGACTTTTCTCGAAATGCCTGGCATGTCTGAGGGTCTCAACGCAAAGATGTCTCTGTTGGCACGGAGGAAGTCGACGAGCGTGCTTTCCTATCTGGAGGAAAGCGTGGTGCCAATGCACACCACTTTGCCCTCGGAGCTGCTGGGGTCTATGAGGACCTCTTTGGCGCCTTCTACAGGCTCAAGCTCCTTAGAGGCGACAATTGCCATGGCATGTTCGCAGCACTCGACCTCGCACTCGTAGGCGTGCTGGAAGGAGGTGCCGATGGTGATGACTCCGCATGGACCCGACATCTTCAACTTCAGATAGGTGTAGTTGGGGACGACCATGAACTTCGCGTAGCATGGACGTCCTAGGATGGCGTGGTAGGTTCCGTGGAACCCGACCAGCTCAAAGGTAAGGGTCTTTGTCCTATAATTGGTTGGATCCCCAAAGGTGACGGGCGGATCGTTCTACCCAAGTGGCACGGCCTGCTTTCCTTGCATGATGCCGTGGAAAGGCGCCCTGGTCGGCCAGATGCGCGCTCGGTCGATGCCCATGGCGTCGAGCGTTTCAGCGTACATGATATTGAGGCCGCTGCCTCCATCCATTAGCACCTTGGTTAGCCGCTTCGTGCCGATGATTGGATCGACCACCAGCAGATATCTTCCTGGCTGCGAGACGCATTTCGGGTGGTCGGTCCGATCAAAGGTTATGGTGGACTCCGACCATCGGAGGAAGGAAGGTGCGGCCGGCTCGGCCATATAGACCTCACGGCACGCAAGCTTCTAGCGGCGCTTGGAGTCATAGGCCGCCGACCCTTCGAAGATCATGAGGCAGCCATTCAGCGTCGGAAATCTGCCATCCTTCCCCTCGGCGTCATCTGCGGCCAGCTTGGGCTACTTCCTATGCTCCCCCTTGTTGGAGCCTCCAAACAAGAACCACTTCATGAGGACGCATTCCTTGTATAGGTGCTTGACGGGGAAAGCATGGTTCGGGCATGGCCCTTCGAGCAGCTTCTCAAAGTGGTCCGGGGTACCCTCGGTGGGCTTCCGACCCCCCTTGCAGTCGGTGGTGGCCACGAGCGAGACCTCGCGCCGCTGCTTGTTCTTCTTTTTGTTGGGATGGTTGGAGGCGCCTTCGCCGGCGTCCTCGTCCTGCTTTGCCTTGCCTTTGAGGCGATCAAAAATCACCATGACCGTCTCCTCGCCTGAGGCGTGGCTGGTGGCGATGTCGAGGAGCTCCTTGGTGGTTCACAGGCCCTTACGTCCTAGCTTGTGAACCAGGGACTCACAGGTGGTACCAGACAGGAAAGCTCCTATGATGTCGGTGTCGGCGACATTGGGCAGCTTGTTGCACTATTGGGAGAAGCGCCGGATGTACCCATGAAGAGTGTCCCCGAACTTCTGTCGATAGTTTTTGAGATCCCATGGGTTCCCAGGACGTGCATATGTGCCCTGGAAGTTTTCCACAAAGATCTCTTTTAGGTCCACCCAACTTTGGATTTGGTTGGGCGGAAGGTGTTCCAACCACGTTCGCGCTGAATCAGCTAGGAACAATGAAAGGTTGCGGATAATGAAATCATCACTATCCGCTCCTTCGGCTTGGTAAGCAAGCTGATAATCCTTGAGTCACAGTCCGGGGTTCATTTCCCTAGACTATTTCAGGATGTTGGTCGGTGGTCGATACCGCGGTGGGAAGACGGTGTTGAGGATGTGTCGGCCAAAGGCCTGAGGTCTCGGCAAGTTGGGGCTTGGGCTTCGGTTCTCGCCGTTGTCGTAGCGTCCGCCACGATGAGGGTGGTAGCCACGGCTAGCCTCCTCCCTCTCATCACCGTGGGTACGCCTGCGGGCGTCGAGGGTGTCGCGCGCGTCACGATGGAGGCCGAGACGCTCATGCATCGAGACCGTGGCGCTCGGCCTACTGCCTTGCTGCGCCTGGTGGACTGACACGTCCTTACCGGGTCGCTCTAAGGGCGTGCGCTAGCTGGCGTCGAGCTCGCGTTCTCGTGACAGCGAGCTCTCGACCTGCTGTGCCGCCGCACGCTCGAGTAACATGCGAATCTTTTGATGGGCCCAATGATCCTCGGGTGTCGTGGGCCCTAGAAGCCCTCGGAGCAAGGCCACCATAGCAGCGATGTTCTGGCTTACCCAGGTGAAGTGTGGGAGGACTTCGTCGTCCTCGAGGATCCTCCGGTTCACGTCGCGGGCCATGGCACTCGCACGCCCACCATCTCCATGACGCTCGATCTCTCGCTCAAGCTCCATGCGTTCCTGCTCGAGCTGGAGTCTTGCTTCCTCGAGCTCTTGGTCTTGGGCCCTCAGCTGCTCTACCCGTAGGTGACGTGGGGCCCCTGCATTCCCCTCGACCTCGTCGTCGAGGTCGTTTGTTGGGGTAGCCTCACCATCATGGATGCTTTCGACGTATACCTCGAGGGTACCTGCCATGAAACATTCACGCGAGGGGTGATGGCGACCCCTGCTGGAGTCAGAGTCAGAGGGTGACTCTGATTCTCCCGCGAGGAGGTCATGAAAAGATTCCGCGACAAATTCGGTTATCCCCATGAACTCGTCGTTCGTAGGGGGTGGGGGGGGGCGCGTTGCGCCATAGGGTGGCCAACGGTCTCTGCGGCGTTGCGCAGACCGAATGGGAGCGCTGTCGAGGCGCTCTGGATGAGGTATTCCGGGGAGAGCGGCTCTCCTCCAGCAAGCATCGTCATGACGTTGGCGAACGAGAACGTGAGGCGGTCCAGGTCCTCCTGGGACGGTCGAGGTCCCAGGAAGACACCGAGCTGGCGCTCTAGCCTCCCGTAATCGAAGCCAAGGAGCTGGTCGCTTCCGGGGGCATAGGCGTCCGGTGCGTGCAGCCGTAGCTCCTCAAGTGCCTCGGCGATCGCGTCGAGGCCGGTGGAGTGGAGAGGTTGGACGGCGATGGGAGCCTGCACCAACTGTCCCCCCATCATGACGATGAAGTCTAGGTTCCTGAAGCGCACGTGCGCACCCGGGACCCAGCTGATGCCGTGACTAGGCATCCGAGGCTTGATGTGGACATCGAGACGTGCAAAAAGCCCCTACCTGACACGCCAACTGTTGGTGATTTTGGACCACCGACGAGTAAATTTGTATTTGCGCGTCTGGCTCGGATGGTGTGCTCGAAGGACACAAGGGTTTATACCGGTTCGGGTGGAACATCTCTACGTCCAGTTTGCTGCTGCTTGTGTTACCGACACTTGGTTTGTAGTAGGGGTTACAAATAGGCGAGATAGGGAAAGAATCACAAGTCTCTGGTGAAAGGAGTGAACGGGTGCCGAGAGCTCGATCGCTGCTTAGCCATGTGCTTCTGTTGTGCTCTTGTGTTTTTATGTCGTGGTTAGGTCTCGTGTGGATCTGGATCCCTCTTTCATGGGGCGCCATGCTTTCCCTTTTATAGGCGAAGGGAAAGCGCGGGTTACAGCGGAGGAAAAGGAGAAGAACGAGAGAGAAGAAGGCTTCCAGGATAGTCGGGTCCTTCTTCTACTTCATGCGGGTCCCACCGATCCTGTAGATGTCAACAGGGATGGCTCCACATCGCGGTCCTGTTCGTCACTAGCGCCATGCGCAGGCGTCATCTGCCGGTCATGGCGCTCCATTCCATCCTGGCGGACATCGTTGTGAACTGACGCGTCTGTCAGCGTTTGTAAGAGGGTTATGTAGAACAACATCGGCACTCCCGACACTGTTCTTGATGTGAATCCTCAGGTATGGCCCCTCAAGGCCACGGGTAACATCGAGTCGTGCCAGTCTCTTCCCTGCCGTCAGAGTTTTGATCCAGGCCTATACGCTTGGATCTAGAGTGGTTGGCGGCGGTATGAGTCCCTATCAGACGAGGAGCACGCACCCCGAGGGGTCGGGCGAGACGGAGCCCTTGGCCTTGGGGTCGGGCGAGACGGAGCCCGTGGCCTTGGGCGAGACCCCATGGCCTCGAGGTCGGGCGAGACGAAAACCACGTCCTTGGGATCGGGCGAGAAGGAGCCCGTACCCAAGGAGTCGGGCGAGACCTTTTAATACATCGTGCTCCATCCAAGGAAGTCAGTATGGGCGCTTTCTTGCTTTGGGTATCCCTAATATCGATACCCGACACTTACCCCATAAAAAAAAAAAAACAAAAGAAATTAATGAAAAAAAATCATTCAATGTCCGCTGATGATCGGTCCGATGATCTCCAAGGCACAAAATATTGCAGAGGTTTTTATTACTGTGTACAAGACAATGGTACCTGCCCGTTTCTTCTTTGATCGATGAAACACTTGGTCCGATATGTCTCAGTACCCCGCAAGTGAGAGAAGAGTTGCTGCCTGCACGAATCTCCTATAACTAAAAAGAATAAAGTGTAGACATTTTTTGGTACAATAAATCCATTTATTTTGGTTAATCCGTCTACCGACGCCTACAATCCCGCACCCATCGCTCCTTGGTCTACCTTCCCCTGCGATCCCTGCCGCTCGCCACGTGAACGCGTCCACGCCGCTCCTCCTCCTCTAAGCCCATCTCCCTCTCCCACTCCCACTCCCTCCCCTCCAAGCCCTCGCTAGCCCCACCCCCCGCCGCATCTGGAGCCTCTCGCAGCGGCCTCGCCCCCGTCTCTGCCTCCGCCTCAGCCGCGGCGGCCCCAACCCCAGACCCAGTCCCAGCACCGTCCGCGGCGCTGGCCGCCCCGCCGAAGAAGCATGCGCTGTAGGGTGCGGCCATCATGCCACTCCTCGCCTCCCTCGCGATCGGCGTCCTCATCTGGTTTGTCCCGGCCCCCGCCGGCGTGCCCCGCAACGCGTGGCAGCTGCTCGCCATCTTCCTCTCCGCCATCATCAGCATCATCACCCAGCCGCTGCCCCTCGGCGCGATGGCCCCACTTGGCCTCGGCGCCGCCGTGCTCACCAAGACGCTCACCTTCGCTGCGGTCTTCGGCGACCCGATCCCCTGGCTCATCGAGCTCGCCTTCTTCTTCGCGCGCGGGTTCATCAAGACCGGCCTCGGCTCCCACGTCGCCTATGCCTTCATCACCACCTTCGGCTCCTCTCTCGGCCTCGGCTACTCGCTCGTCTTCGCCGAGGCGCTCCTCGCCCCTGCCATCCCCTCTGTCTCGGCGCGCGCGGGCGGCATCTTCCTGCCGCTCGTCAAGTCGCTCTGCGAGGAATGCGGCTCGCGCACCGGCGACGACACGGAGCGGAAGCTCAGGGCCTGGCTCATGCTCACCTGCTTCCAGACCTCCGTCGTCTCGTAGGCAATGTTCCTCACCGCCATGGCGGCCAACCTGCTCTTGGCCAACCTCACGGCTGCCACCATCGGCTAGGGGATCGGATGGACACTCTAGGCCAAGGCCGCCATCGTGCCGGGGCTGCTGTCGCTCGTGCTCGTGTCGCTCATTCTCTATGTGATCTACCCGCCGGAGGTGAAGGCTAGCTCCGATGCGCCACGCCTGGCCAAGGAGCGGCTCTCCAAGATGGGACCCATGAGCACGGAGGAGAAGATCATGGCCGGCACGCTGCTGCTTACGGTATATAATTAATGATATATATACATATACTTGCCATTTTCTCGCAACATTTAACTCTTTGGCATTACTATAGCCTTTACTAGCATTCTTTGAACTTTTCTTGTGCTATTAGTGTTCTTTATTTATGCCTTGAATCCTGATGGTTAAAATTATTATCAGCTATCTTTCATAAGTAGTTTATAGTGTTCTATTATGAGTGGATGCACCATTTGATGTCTTTGGAGTCTTAGGATTCTTGTTATCAATGGTTTAGTAATCGACTGAACTCTGACCCGTGACTTTGTAATGTTCATATCCTTGACAGTCGTTGCCACTTAATGCAGTTTTTTTTCATTGCCTTGTCACATCTAACTTGAATAGGAATTGGATCCACTTTTCATTGCCCGTGACTTTGTAAAAATTATGCCCTTGCTCTGCATGCCAGGTTGGTCTTTGGATCTTTGGAGGAATGTTGAGTGTGGATGCAGTGTCTACAGCAATTCTTGGCCTAGGGGTCCTCCTAATCACAGGGGTTGTCACATGGAAAGAGTGTTTGGCAGAGTCTGTGGCGTGGGATATGCTTACATAGTTTGCAGCACTTATAGCAATGGCTGGCTACCTCAACAAATACGGGTTCATCTCTTGGTTCAGTGAGACTGTTGTGAAGGTACACTCTCTTTTCTTCACACAAATCTCATCTCTCATGAGCCTTGGCTCTTGGCATTTATAAGGTTAAGGTTTTTCCTTTATTCGTGAGAAAATTCCTTATTTGACAATGGAAGTTAACATGCTTTATTCTTTTTCCCACAACGAGAAACCTGAATTTTATTACTTGAAGCAATGAAATTACAAACACAACGAGTTCAAAGACATAACGTCACAGATTGACAGATCCCACCCAATTAAAATCCATACTTCTGATCACAGAGGGACCAGAACATATGGAACCACCTCAGGCCCCTGACATGCTTCCTTTATGGCCCTAAAAATCTTTTTCTCCCTTATATGACACTGGGTCTATCTTTTATGCCTTAATTTGACACTTCCATCAGTTTTGGCTGTTAACCCATTAAAAGATTAGATGAAAAGACCTTTTGACCCTCAGCCCTCTTTGCGCCAGTATTGGAGTCCCAGCATCAGGATTTGTGCATAACATATGTGAGGCAACAAGCAATTTCAAAAAAACCATGCGTAGTTTTAGTTACTGATAAAATCAAAGCTTATCATGATAGTATGAAGCATCTCTTTCTCAGTATCCATCAACATGTTAACTTCATAGATGAATTATTCATCCTATTTCTTTCCCAATATCATTCAACATGTTAATTTCATACATGAATTTTTTTATACTATTAATTGGTGAAGAAAAAATGTGCTTAATGTAATCATCTCGTGAGAAAATAGTATGCTTCTTTTTCTTAAAGAATGAAACAGTAAGTTTTGTGAGGAAGCTGGCCTTCTTTTACTTTTTACTTTTTGGATGTCCTCTTTTTGTGAGGCTAGACTTCAAGCTCTCAGAATGTGTGAAGATAAACGAGTTGCTTTTCTTCTTTGTATAGATTCTCTTGCTTAGCTCTTTGGTTCTCTAGCCGTCCTCAGGCTTGAGGCTCCCTCTGGGAGTTTTTGATAGTTTTTGTTAGGAACCTTACTAACTTTATACAAAGGTTCCGATTGTATCTATGTCATCCAAGTTTTCTGTTGCAATAAGTTTTCGTCGTACTCCCTCTGGTTTGCAAATATTTGATGTTTGGAAATATTAGACAAGGTTTGAAATATCATTGGAGCCACAAGTTCGTGCTGCAATATTAGAGAGGGGAGATGGGTTAGTAGGCATGTAACTTGCCATGTGCCCCTTGTGTACGTAACTCGCCATGTGTCCCTCGTGTATGTAACTTGCAATGTGCTTGTGTGGCTGCTAGCTGGTCTCGCCTTACCGAGAACAAGTCAAACTCTTGTGTATATGTTGTTTCGTTGCAACGGGCATAGACCTAGGTTTTTTCGTCTTACCATTGTTTTTACATAGCCAATTGTACGTAGCGCTATCTATATCCATAGCAAGATCTAATATTAGGATCTTGGCGGTGTTAATTGTTGAGAAGAACATGAACAAGGGGAAGAAACTGTTAAATGATAATATTTCCAATGAATATCATCTATAAAGAGGTTCTAGCTCTATAGACAAGATAATATTGCCTGTTAATACTTTTTTCATGATAATCAAAAGTACCTTTATTAAATAGTACTGTTATTTATCGTGCGATCTGTGTGTTTTTAGTATAAAAGTTTTATTGTCCTGTAGCAATGCACGGACACGCTACCTAGTGAAATTAAAAAAATTAAAAGTGAAAGGCAATGTAGGCATTTAAAGTTTTTCGGATTCTTATCTAGGTCTATGAACTTTTCAAGTGATCATCTAGATTTTTCAACTTTTGAAGTGGATCATTTTAAATCACTCTTGGTCTAATTGTGGATCTGGACTCGCACTTCAAATGACCATTTGAAAAATTGAAGGGCGTGTATTTCAGTCAAAAAAATTAATAAAGATCACCCATCTTATGATCGTGGCGATATTTCGAGCGAGTTGGTTTCTTGATTGAGCCAAGGTAAGTGGACCCAAATGCATCGATTGGGCTGAGGTAGGCCGGCCCAAATGCATTTTTAGGCCCACACTAATGAAAAATCATCCAGCTTATGATAAGAAAAGAGAAATACTTCGAGTGAGTTGGTTTCTTCATTGGACTAAGGTAAGCCGGCCCAAATGCATTGTTAGGCCCCTTTTTTTTAACGTAAACACTGTTAGGCCCATGTCCAACCGTGTTTTACTTTCAAGCACCCATTCGAAAAATTCAGCACCCATTCGACTTTTTTCCCTGTATATATGCAGAACTATGGGGATGTTCGGCTGGTAAAGGCTGTGGCAGCCGACAGGGACGAAGCGACTATTGTGGGGGACGTTTTGGTATACCAATGATAACCACATATGATAAAATATGCGCACGTACATACACATATATGTATATTGAGTTAGCAAGAGTATAAATAATAACCAAATCAATATTTTTTTTGCGATACAAAATAAAGTTAAAAGTCTAAAATGATACTGAAAATTATAGTGAAAGAAAAAAATAAATAGCCCTAAGTCTCTAATCTCTACCCAACTAATCTAATTTATAGAACAAAATCATCGTAATAACTGGAATAAAAGAGAGTGGAAAGATAAAACACTAATTAATGTCATAAGTCATAACTAGCTAATTGGTCGTATGTTGTGCAGATCAACTAAGATGTTATGTAAGAAAAACTACAACAATAATAACAAGAACAAAATAGAATAATAACAAGAACAAAATAGAGGGAGAAGATAACATAAATATTAGACATAAATCACATAGATGTCAATAAAGACTAACACAAAGAAGAGATGATAAATAAATACAACAATAATTAGTAAGTTTTATTAGATAATTAAGGGGTTATATAGTGGGGTACCAGGGAGGTGGGGGTGTGCCCCCCCTTCCCTAGCAGCCGAGCATCCCTCCCAATATTTATATGCTGACACTAAGGGCATTTTCAATGTAGAAACTATCATAGTTTATATGGACATTAATTGTACTGTCACATAAGCATTTTGTTGATGTGGCAATATAGTTATTGAAGAGAGAGAGCAAAAATCATAGAAGCCGGGTCTAAGTTAGAAATCATGTCTACACAAGAACTAAGACACGAAGGGATGTGATTGGTAGAGAATGGAGAGAGAATGTATGTGATTGGATAAAAAATTATTCCGTAGAAACTATCCACTGGGACAATTGTTTCTATATGTAGCGTCTATAAAAATTAATAGGTATAGAAACTATATTTAGTTTTAAGCATTGGGACTGTCCTAAGTATGCATACTCCAAAATTTTCATTGTGAGTTGTAGGGCTTTACCCTGGTTAGAGCATCTCCAAGAGTTCCCTAAATCTCATTCTAATCCTTAGTTTTTAGCAAGATGAAAAAAAATCTCTCTTCAACAATTCCTAATGCATCCGCCTAATCTTTTAGCGCTTTGGAAAAACTCCCTCAATCCACGAAAAGTTACGCGCTGTAGACATGGTGCGTATCGTCGCCTCCCGCGCGGTCTCCCGTCTTGGCGCGGTCTTTTGGCGCGGACGTTCCCCTTCGCGCGCGAAGCAGAGGGTCACCGCCGCCGTCTACTGGAGAGGAGTTCGTCGCCGCCGTCGTCGTGTGGAAAGGAGAGCAGTCCGGAACCATGGCGGTTACGCTGCTCCGCACGGCGGAGGCGGTGGAGGGCCACGACTGCGTAGATCCAGACCCCATCTGGAAGAGCTCTGAAAGGCGTCAGCAGTGTTCTCGGTCGCGTGGCCTGCGCGCTCGCCCCTGCAGCTGGCTCTTTTGGCAGCGCCGGCAGCTGCCGTCGCGGTGCGTTCGGCAATCTCGGCGGGATAGCCGAGATTGTGGACGGCGGCGTTGGCGGCCCTGCGGTTGCTGAATGTACCTGTGTTCTGTGAATTTGGTTTGTTCGTCTTTGGTGGCCGGCAGCCAGCAGCTTTAGGGCTCGTTCGGCTGGTTGAAAAAACAGCCGGATTTCACTGTGCGCGGATGAAAAACACTGTTCACTCTCTCCCCAATTCCTCTAGATTCCTACAAATTCCTCCCAGCGAACAGGTGTTATTTGCAACGGACTAGTTGCCTGCTGCTTGATAGTGTGCTACTGATTGCCGTCATGCAACTGTGCTCTGCTGAT